ACTGATGCTCCAGTGGCAAACTTCTTCCCAAGCTTCTTGGAAGCATCACTAAGCTTAACTCCTGAAATAGTACCTCATCATCAGAAAATAACATACAACCTTAACAAAAGCTAATCAGCATTTAAAGTTGTCAAATGCAAGGATGCAGTAAGGGGCACATGAACAGGTGGCTTACCAAATAGGTCCAATCCTTTGACAATGGTGATACATTTGCGCCTGTTCCGTACAACCTTTTCAATAACAACTTCTTGTTTCTCCTTTTTTTCACAAAAAGAAATGGAAAAAGGAAGAAAAGAACAGAAGAAAATGTATAATTATTACATTATAATGGTAAGTTAATTGCTTGTATCACTAAAACACAATCTAACATTTAAGTCTTACTTTTTTCTTTATTTTCCCACCAGGAAGACGTTTTACTTCTTCTTGCTTAGATGATGATGCCTCCCCTAAAATTTAAAAATGTCACAAAACAAGGTAAAGTGAGAATAAAAACATTCTTGGCAGAAGATAGTAAACAAACTCCAAGACATTACTTGTTATTGGGCCTTGATAGTGCAAAGATGTATTTGGTTAGTTCTTCAACAAATATTTAAAGATCAAATGTTCACAAACATATAAAAATAAGAAAAAAGATATTCAAAAAAATAAGACTGAAAAGATATTTGTAACCTGATTGAGCAGTAGAAGCTGCTACATCAGTGCTAGCTGAAGAGATTCCAATGGATTGGAGCTGTTCAGAAACCTTCTCAGCCTCCTTTTCATTAGCCTCTGAAGATAAATCAATTCATACAGAACAAATTAGTGAAAAAAAAAAAATCACTTCTATTTTTGTTAGGGCATTTTGCCCCCAATTATACCAGAAACAAAGAAGCCAAAATTATAAGGAAAAAACCCATTTCAGTACCAAGTTTTTCAATTAGGGAATGCCAAATTCCTAATTTAAGGCCACCCCATGTGTAAGTCACAAAAAAAATCACAAAAATTTCAATTCCTTCATTGTATAAGACTATCAGCAACCAAACTAAACATCAAGTTCTTAAAATCATAACAAAATAAAGCAATTATCGTAATAACAGTTAATCAGTACAACATCCAAGACCCTACAGCAGCAACTGAAAATACATGATGCAATCCCTTCAATTGACTGAAAAAAACCCAAATCACCATGTCAAAGCAACAACAACCTATTATAACAAAAACCACAGCTTAAATGACACTGCTTTGCCACTATGAATCTATTCATTACCGATCGACACACCCCGAAAGCAGCATCAAACACCCCCAAGAAGATACATGATTCGAGCTTTATTACAAAACAAACATAGAACAGATACCCAAAGGTACATATACAGAAGAGGGAAGCAGTATAGGACCTTTAAGGAGATCTGGGTAGAGTTCAGGGGCGTTCTTGGTCAACCATGGCTTGCATTTCTCGAAATCGGGCCCGAATTCACAGTACTCGGCGGGGAGAGAGCATACGGGGCAGTATAAAACCTTCACCGGCTGGGGCTTCTCCGCCATTTAAAGCTTTGTCTCTTCGTCTTCAATTAGGTTTCTTCAGGGCTTGAATTCGTCTGTAAGAATGAAAATCAGGAATTGGGATGGAAGTGAGGAGATGAAGAGAAGCCGCATTCCGATTTTGGGAAAGTGAAAGAATTTATTCGTTTTGGTATTTTGCGCAGTTGCGTTGCGTGACTTGCGTCCCCTAGATGAAAATGGGCTTCGTAAACCCATTTAGACCTAGACCGACCCAGTTGATGAAGCTATTTTGGATCCATTCCACTTTTAGAAATTAATTTTTGTCAGCCATACTTGCAAATAAATTAAATAATATAATATTTAAAATTATATTTTTTAAATAAAATATTATTAAAAAAATTTAAAATTTTAATATTTGTTAATTTAAAATTTTTAATAAAAGTCAAAGTCAAACCTAACCCTCCGTTAAAAAAAAAAACTCTTATTATTGTTTTAAAAATTATGACATTTAATTTTTTAATGAAAATTTGTTAAAATAATATAATTTTAAGATTTTTTAATCTAATTTTCTACAAATAAGACTTATAAACATTTTCTCAAGTAAATTATGCTTAGGGGGTTCAATCTTAGATTAGAGCCAATGTCTAAAAAGCCCTATTTTTTTTTAATGCCTCATGTAACAAGAATGCACAAAAGAAAATTAGTCTCTAATGACATAAACTGTTTGAAAAGCACCTAGTTATCCAAACGAACAATGAAAGAAGGCGACTTACATATACATCAAAAGTATAATAGTCAACATTTAGTTCAACATGAAGTGACTTTATAACGTGGTCAATTATTATTGTGATTTAATAGTTATAATTTTTTTAAAAAATGAAATAATATTTAAAATTTATATAATCTTATTTTTCATCATTTAATTGTACTGACTTAAAAAAAAAAATGAATCTATCATATTATAATTGCCATGGTAACCTAATAACCATAAGTTTTATAAGAAAAACGATGACACTCAAAATTGTAAAGTTCAAACCTTAATAATTCCCGTCCCAATCCCCAATTGTACTAGAAAAAAAAAGAAAAAGAAAAAAGAGGCCTATCACAGCAAATCACGAACGTCATTAATTTTCACAATTAAGTTGCATGAGGATTGAGGTGAGGCCCGGGCCCCAACCTCCATTATTTATGTAAATATTTTGGTGGTAGCGTTAGCATGTTCGTGTGGCATATTCTAATGTTCGCACGGCATATTCTAATGTTCACACGGTCCAACTTGACACCAATATTGCTGTAACACTTCCCCTCGCCCTGCCAAAAAGGAAAAAGATCAAATTTCCAGCCAATGAAGCTTTGTTATGGTGTTCAAGGTTGCAACATTATTTTTCTGTATTTATTAGACTCAATTTCAAAGGAAAACCACGTGCCTAAAGAAGCAGTAAAGAATAAAACACCTCACATTCCTTAGCTTGAGTCTTAAATTCCTTACAAAATATCTAAGAATTTGGCATATTACAAATTGAGCTTTATGCTTACGACTTGAATGGCATAATGAAAAATTTTGTGGTCTTCAAAAAAATGAAAAAAGAGAAGTGAAATTTTGGACTTATTTGTTGGAGCTCTACAAACCACATAATTCCATTATCTATTTTACTTTTCAGTTCAAATTGAACTTTTTTTTTAGCTCTAAGAATTACCAAAAATGCTTTTAGTAAATTAAAAATTAGTTTGAAAATATTTTTTAAAAATACTTTAATAAATTTATAACCTAGTCAACACATACAATCTAAACTGAAAAAATAAAATTTTGATATAAAAAATATAACAAAGTATTTTAC